TGCACGTCTGAATTTCGAACGAATCAGAAATTGAATCTCTCGGCATTCATCGAAATGGAACGGCACTTTCGACGAGAGATTTGGGTCGACTGGGTTTTCAAAGGAAAAATTAGCTCGCGAGACATATCAAGCCGCGGACACGAAACACGGAGTGCAATTAACGATAAGTTAACGCGTATTGGAAAATACGATGGTCTGACATGGGGAACAATAGCAGAGATCGGAAACAATTATCGATTCACACGCGCGAGACTGCGGAAACACAGTTCGGTGAAATTTCGCATTTCACAGAAAAGCTCTCTGGAGGCGCGGCGATAATAGATCTGACAACGAAGACTGGCGTTGAAATCTAGATTGTACATACATTGTACATACGCGAAGTTTAATCAGGTTTTTGTCCGCTGACAAACGGTTGTTTTCGCGTGTGAATCACTGCAGGACAGGATAGTCTGTGTAATCATTCGCGCGGTGAGCCTCGTAAATCACACCGGCTAATATAAATTTATGACGTATGTACGTGGCTTAATACGCCGCGCGCAAATCGGTATAATGGACTTTCAAGTGTGCGAAAGCGAGATGTAAATCGACCGTGTACGTTGCGTCAAAAGAAGAGAGTGATATTTGTTCCAATTTACTTTTCACGAGATTGGAAAATTATTTAATTGACGCTAATTAAATTGACGCTTGATTTCTAAATGGAGTGAATGCCGATCTTGCTCTTTCCTTCCTCACCGATCATCCACCATTAATCTTACCGCTTTGATATCGAATCAATGTTACGCATCAGTCGATAAAAAAGTTTTTCATTTTTTTCATTTTTTTTTTTTTTTTACTTGAACGAGTAAATTTTTACTTTTCATTTCTAAATATTTAACAAAATTAAATATTTGTTCCAAGTTTCAGCTGCGAGTGTTCATTCACTGAATATATATAAGTAAAACTAATCACGATGGCTAAAAATTAAAAAACGCGAAAATCTAAACACGAGGAAATTGAATAAGAATTTTATTATTCGAATAATTTTAACCATGAATGTCCCTTTTTGGGCAAGCACGCGACAGAAAAATTTTAAACCATCTTGAAACTGGCATCTAAAAAACAAGCTCAGTGTCCTCAATAAAAGTTCATATATTTTTAATTAATATAAATATAAATGTATAATATATTTGTATAAATATAAATATATCATATAATAGATATATTAATATTTACTTAATATTAATATAAATATATTTTTTAATATTTTTTAATTAGTATATATAATTTTTAATTAATATATATATATAAATGTATAATATATTTGTATAAATATAAATATATCATATAATAAATATATTAATATTTATTTAATATTAATATAAATATATTTTTTCATATTTTTTTAATTAATTTATATATAATTAATATATATAATTTTTAATTAGTATATATATAAATGTATAATATATTTGTATAAATATAAATATATCATATAATAAATATATTAATATTTATTTAATATTAATATGAATATATTTTTTCATATTAATTAATATATATATAATTTATTTTTCATTTTAATTAATATATATATAATTAATATATATAATTTTTAATTAATATATATTAATAATATATATAAATGTATAATATATTTGTATAAATATAAATATATCATATAATAAATATATTAATATTTATTTAATATTAATATAAATATAGTTTTTCATGTATTTTTAATTAACATAAATATATTTTTTACAAATATAAAAATTGTTTCAATGGCCTCGTAAATAATACAGGTTACATTGAACTGATAAAAATGTAAATATGTAAACTATGCGTGGCCTTCAATGAACCTCTGAGGCCCAGAAAATCTAAAATCTAAAGAATATGTTTTGCATCAAGCGAGCAATTCCTAAATTACTTGGAGCACGAAACGCGGTAATACGTATTACGAACTCTATCGATGCTACGTACATACACATACAAGTTGTCGAGGCGAGTGTTTTCTACCCGTTTTTTTTTTTACCATTTATAAATTCGTAATTCAGTTTTCCGCGTAAAGCGTTTCAATGCAGACGAGCATTAGTTAAAAACACACTCGTCGGCTTGATACTTTTGGTGGCGCGACGATTTCAAGGGATTAATGCACGCCGCGCCGCTTCTCGTCCTTTGCATTCATGAATAAAGAAATATCTCGACGGTACTCCACCCATAAAACGCACGGTTATTTTGAATTCGTTCTCCCGCACACGTCGCGTGTCCGGACACGTGTTCGTGTACATGCACGGCTTCGCCCTATACATAATACAACACAATCCGTATATCGTCCGCGTAACACCGATGAAAAATCGTTCGATCCCCGACACGAGGTACGATCAACCGTGTGCAACCACAAAAAATGATATTTTATTGGCGCACTCTGCATGTTTTTATAAACACGCAATGAAGTTGAAACGAAATCGCGATACAGTTATAGACGAGGTATTGAAAAAAACCAATGTTTCTCCGTTGAAGATGAAAGGGATGAAAATTTATAAATAAACATATCTAGTCTGATCATTTCCCTCCCCCCCCCCAAATTAACAATTGGTCTCGATTTAACTGGATTGTCCGGTTTCAATCAAGCCGATTGATCGGGTACTCAGCGGGCGTAATACTACAAAACCTGCGCATCGTGAATTTATCACGAGTGATCGAGTAGAGTAAAACACAGATACCGAAACGAAAATAGATAAACTGAATGATAAAGCAGCAAAGAATTCCAAACAGCCGACGATTATCCGCAGAAACGTCTAATTCGTAGATTACATTGAATTACCGCGCTAATTGCATAATTCCATGCTTTTCTAACCTCAATCGCCGAGAAAACAAAGAGCACTGCGAATGGCAAATTAAATTCGTCGAGAAGAGAGGTACAATCATCCTTTTTAATTCCATCTTATTACCAATAACACAATGGTACTGGCGTGATACTCGCGATGCTGCTACTTAATCCCCGTCTGCAAGCATGAAAACTTAAAGCAGATCGTGTGTACGCGGCTTTATACGCGCGAGCGCGAAATGAATTTGTGTGTAAAAAAAAATTGACAGAAGTGACACACACGGGAAGACCTATCGGAAAAAGATGATCCAAGATTAGCGAGGTAACCGCTGAAAAGTACGTACGAAGTTAGCTATCGGATTTCCTGCGGGAGGGCAGAAAACGTTTAAAATGTCAACAAGGTCGAAAGGCCGGGCGAGTTAATTGGCGCATGAATGTCACGGCGAATTTCAATCATCAAGTGCCAGTATAGAATCGTCCGTAGAGACGCGATGATCTCCTTCTCGTCGAAGCTGAAGAAATATAATCTTCGAACGAAATCGATGGAACGTTACGCCTATGGGAACGAATGAAATTAAATGAAAAAGCGCTTCCGTAAGGAAAACAGAAGGAAGAAAGAAGGCTCGAGTATGTCAATAAGCATCGATCGATAATGCTGACGCATACACGTTTCCGTACGATCTAACGGTCTATTGATAAATCATCGCGAAAGGTCGAATCGAAGCGATCCTACTGTATACGTAGAAAAGCATATTATATGAAAGAGGAGAGCTTACGTTGCCGGTTGTGGAGTTGGTTCGCAGCAACACAAAGATCGTCAAATATTCCCCCTCGAGGAGGGGGAGGAGAAGGGGAGGAGAAAGAGCAGATCACTGTTGGTCCCTTTGTCCGAACTTTACGTGAAGGAAATGCAGAACTGGTGCTCTACGGCACAAGAGACACGCGTAATCGGCGAGAGCCTGCAAAGCCTCCTCCGACTGCTTCTCTCCGGCAGCAAAATCGAGACATATAACGGAGTACTTCTCTTTCCACTGTCACTGTGAACTTGTTAGCCGAACCGTGACCAGCCGCAATTATGCGCGATCTCGATCGAGATACACGTTACGCACAGAGCACCGGTGACTGACGTCGGTTCGAATTCTCATCGGTTCGAGCTAGCGTCAGGAAAACCACCCCCTGCACAGCCGGCGCCCCAACAGCCATGTGCCGCCCTAAACCTCCGCCCATTGGCCCCAACGAAACATTCTACCGACTCCTAATTGTTCCACGACTCTTTTTTGTTACACGTCCGTTGAATCGCAACCGAACAAGAATTTCGAACGCGCGCACTGGGTCGGGCGTTTGGTCCGTGTTACGTTATCATGAGCAACAACTCTGCACGACCCATCCCTGCGGGAGCTCGCCAAGAAAGGGGGAATGGGAAAAAACCGACTGACAAGACGTCACGTCTCCCGGGAGCGCTTCGATCTCTCTGAACTCACCATATCTACCGCACAGCTGGCCGCGTGTCTATACATTACACTGGCGAAAGCACCAGGGCCGACGGACAGTCCGTAATTTCGACGTCGTTACGCAGAAACGTGGGAGAACTTCGCCAAACGAGGTACACACACCGCGCACGATCTTCACCCGCAAATCGAGAAAATGGCGTTGCTCGCTCCCTCGCGCTCGTTCGTTCTAGCAATACCTCAAGCTACGCTGATGTCTATCGTTGCCAACTAACGCCCATTCCTCGACGCGGAGAATCTGGCAACTAACGCGCGGGAAAATCAAAACACCATTCCCTGCCAAACGGCAATAATTTTTGAAAATAAAGAATATATCCAATTGATGAGATAAAGAACGTTGTACGGAATGATTTCGTTGCTTGTAAAAGATAATACGAACATTTATATGAAATTAGACTTTAGCTGATAAAGCAAAGAATGAAACACTTTAAGAAATACGTGGCGCCACTTGCTAGACGTATGTGATCCTTGTATGATGAAATGAAAATATTGCCGGTTCATCCAAATGATCCCGCGCGATAACTAAGTGTTTATACACTTGTTAAGCAGTTATAGTAATATAAGCCTAAGGATTCAATTTGTTTCTAGCAATAAGTTGGAAATAATTGAATTGTGTCATGGCTGACGAGACAGAGCAGGTAAGAATGTTTGATTCAAAGTTTTGAATATAACCTCCGACCATAACCTCAATATACATTTCCACAGGTCCCAGCGATAAATGTTAAAGAACCCTTAGATCTTATAAGATTAAGTCTGGATGAGAGAATATACGTTAAAATGAGGAATGAGAGAGAGTTACGAGGACGATTACACGCAAGTATCAATTTTATCATATTACTGTATACATGTATATATTTTTTAACCTATTATATATCTAAAGATCAAAACTTTTAATTGAAGGCATATGATCAGCACTTAAATATGGTGTTGGGCGAGGCAGAAGAAACTGTAACTACAGTAGAAATCGATGAAGAGACATATGAAGAAGTTTACCGTACAACAAAAAGAAACATCTCTATGCTTTTCGTTCGTGGTGACGGAGTAATTTTGGTTTCACCACCAAGCATGAGAGCGCCAATATAAAATTTCTTCTTTATATGTAATCTAGCTAAAACTAAGAGATAAATAATATAGAATTAAGTTCCATTTTGATATAATCTTTTATAATTTAAACAAAACTGTTTATAATTTAGACAAAATTGTGGTACACTGTGTTAAAATAACACATGAATTAAAAGTTTATAAGTAATTAAAGAATTAACTTTTTTTTTAATTCTAATGAACTATATTTTCGTTCGAATTTTTGAAATTGTATCAACTGTAGCAGTCCTTGGAGTAATACTTTGTTCCACAGGTCTCATTATTTGTGACGTGAGATCCGTAATTCTTTGATCTTTTAGCTTTATCAATGATTCGAGATGAGACAATTTTTGATGAAGCATATTTATTAGTTCATTCTTTTCTTCCAATTCCTGTTTTAATCGAACGAAAACGTGGCGCGGAACAGTTTTATTTGCTATTTCTTCAGGGTTAAGCACCGACTTGACAACTTCTTTTCAGGGAATAAAATTTTGCACAAATTTTTATACGAGATTTTATGCTTTTTGTAACTGTTCACTTACCCTGCTTTTCATTTTCTTCGTACTCGGAGTACAAGGTACTCCTATCTGCATTGCAATCTTTCAAAATTTTAGCACGCACTTCAATTAAAATTCTTTCAATGACACCAGGCTGCGAATTTGCCAGTTGATGAATCACATCCTTTCCCAATTTTATGTCAAGTTTCGAAAGTACCTTGCGATTTAGAGTACACCAATTATCTATCTTCTTTGCAATACTACTTCCAGGAATATAATTATGTACATCGACGTATCTGGGGTAGTATCGCTTTAATAATTCAGCCATAAAAACTAAAAAAAAAAAAAAAAAAAAAA